CCCCCCGTTTGAATCTGTCTTGTTGTGTCTCATTGATGGGTATCAGTCTTGTTTTGGCATTTTTTTTCACCTGTTAGGCATAATAAATACTTAATACAACTCTGTGAGTTCTGAATCTCTGCCTTGTGGCTATGGGCAGATTTCGTTGTATCAGAGAACCTGACTCTACACAGTAGATTATGTGGCACATTCTGAGAGGTAGGAATGGGCAGCCAGTAGTGAGTTTACAAGGAAACATTGCACTTACATCTGTGTTGTGCATTTGTGCAGCATTGTGTTTACAAGCAGCACGGGTTTTCTGAACACAACTTTTGCAACTGAGGGGGAACCAGTAGGAAGAGCAGAGGGCTTCACTACTCTTTTACTTCAGTCTGCTTTCCTGCTGAAAAGTGCACCCCTGTAGCTTCTCTTACTCCTGTAATCCAAAGCATGTGTAATTTTTCCACCTGCCTTCAGAGTAAGAGATCTTTCCTTACACCAATGTTGCTGGCAGCCAAGAAGGGCCCATGTCAATGGGCTGCAAGCAAGATACTCAACTCAGCATGACAAAATAATGAACTGATGACCTGGGAACTGTTGAAGATAGGGAGAGTTGGGTTTTAATAAGAATTATTTTTTTCAAAGCTAAAGGCCATTTTCTCTGCTACATAATAAGCAAGGGTGTTGCAAGGCCCTGAAACCTTCTAAGCACAATGCAAAATTTCCAAGCTCCGGGTACATGTATACAAAGAGCTTTATTGTATTCAAAATTATTCTGCCTGAAAATACTTCATCTTGAACTCGTTTCTAAATATGCTCTCCAACCATGTTAGAATTCTTAACATGGAAGTCTGTGCCAGACCACAGAAGTCTAATGAAAGTGTTGAAGAGATGCACAGTTAAAAGCTTGAGCTCAATTACCAGGCTGGTCATAAAACCTTTGGTTGGATTTGGCAAGACTTAAAGCCATTGCCTACATTATGGACAATGAAGGGCTAGAAGGAAGGTCAGATCATCTAAGAGTCATCCTGAATGCTGTGAAGTACAGTAGCACTCCAGCAAACGATTTATCCTCCTGTTTCCTCTAAGATGGCCTAGACTTCTAAAACAATGTTCAATGAATATGTAGTACATTCATTTATAACCTGAATAGTTACCATCCACTTCATGATTTTGGATCTGTCACCTCATTTCTGTGCTGTGTAAACCAGGGGCACTGTGGTTGTTTCTCTTTTTTACAGCTGAGCAACTGCACTCCCAAAATGTGCCTGCTGCGTGAGTCTTGTTTAGAGATGGGTGCAAACCACCAGCTCAGCAGTTTGTCCTTCAGGTGAACAGATGCTTGTCGGTTCCCAGCCCCGACTCCTCCAGCAGGCTTCCCTGCGCTGCCTCCTTCATGCTCTGCCTCTGAGGGGAGCCTGCCAGAGGAGGCAGGGCTGGAAACTGCCCAACATCTGTTCATCCAAAGGATGAAGCAGCAGGGACTGCCGAACCAGCTTTTTGTGCCCATCTCTCGTCTTGTTTCTTCCGTGAAGGAATAAAGCAGCTGAGCAGAGGCCACAGAACAGGGTTTGACTACATTGACAATAATGTGAGAAATGCTCCAGGATTGGGACAGTCTGATTCTCATTATTTTTTTGTTGACTGCATGACAAAAGGCAATGAAAATCAGCTGGAAACTGGCCGCTGTTTGAATCCTCTCTTCTTCATACATGGTGCCTGGGTCTGCATTCATCTTCCATTCCCCTTATTTTTCTTTTAAAGGCTTGCTTTCTTAGCTTTAAGGTAGCTGGCCGACCAAAGGGGGGAAAAAAACTAGCAATGAATTGGAGAGAGAGAGAGAAAGAAGTTTTAAAGTACCGTATTTTTCGCTCCATAAGACGCATACACTTCTCCCCCCACTTGTTTTGAGAGGAAAAGTGCGTCTTATGGTGCAAAAAATACGGTAGCTTTGCTCTGGCTGTCCAAATTGGCTGGAAGCACAATTAAGGGAGAGCTGCCTTAAAACTTCCTCATGTCTCTCAGCTGACTCCTGACTCTTCCCTCCTCCTTTGTTCAGCCAGCTTCCCTAGGGCTAGGATAACAAGCTTTTAATAGAAAAAAAAATGAAAGAAAAAAAAAAACAAGGCAAAAGGGAAGGGAAAATGAAAGCAGACACGTACCAGTTATGGGCAGGAGAGGATTCACATAGTTAACAAGCTGCAAACAAGGCTGATTTCCTCCCCTCTCTCTTCTGACTTTTGTGTGGTTGGCCAAAGTGAATTAACCTGGGAAATCCACCGTATTTTTCACACCATAAGACACACTTTTTCCCCACAAAACAGGGGGGTGGGAAGTATGTGCGTCTTATGGAGCGAAGAAAACAGATTATATTTTCCTGTTTTCTTCTCCTAAAAAATTGGTGCGTCTTATGGAAAGGTGCATCTTATGGTGCGAAAAATACGGTAAGTTCCCTGGTGCAGCTTCACAGCAGATCCAGTCTCATTTTCCCCTGCAGTATAGTCAGGGTTTTTTACCTGTATGCCTTTCAGAAAGACAGCAGCAACCAAGGAGGGGTCTTATTAGGCCCAAAGATCAAGGTACTGTATTCCCCACCACAGATAAGCCATTAAGGCTAACATAACAGATTTAGTGTCAGAGGTGTTACGGACCCCTTATAAACTTCAAACGCATCTTACATGCCAGAGTCCTGTGTGAGGAACATAGTTGAGCAAGTTTGAAGAAGCTGGCTCTGCAGGGTGTTGATGGGCTAGTCATTTTCAGTTCACAGAGAAGCTTCTCCTTCCTGGGAGCAGGTGTTTTCTGGTGTTTGTTTGTTTTGATTTGGGCAGAAAGAAAGGCATTGTTTCATTAATAAATGACAAATTCATAGACAAACATTTATATAGCATTTAAAAATAATAATGAAAGCACGAACAGCCTGCTTGAACTACAGTATAAGAAGCCGGGGTGGGGGGGGACTAACTGGTTTTTGTATTGTTGTTTCTCTAGCTATCCATTCAAGCCCAGGGTTGTTTTCTGTGGAAGAGTAAGCTAAAATTCTTTTTAAAATGTGACATATTCTGGCATGGAGCAATTCTGGACATCTTTTCATTACATTCCAAATAAATATTAAATGGCAGTTTTATCAATGATCAAAGATAATTAAGAAGTTTCCCCTTCATTTCTCCGTACTGTGAAGATGTTTGATCTGGAACAGCCAAGAGCACTGAACTCAACAGGGTTATTAATTGGCGAACTAGGGAGTCATGATTTCTGAGAGAGGAGGGAACTTGCCCATTTCCAGGGATTGTGCTGAAAGGAGAGGATATTTTATTTTACAGTATTTTTTAATTCCTAGCCATTTCATTCTTGTTTGTATCAGTCCTTTTTTCTATCATATCTACAAAGGCAGGCAATGAACTTCTTGAGTATCTGATTTTTTCCCCATCTTTTGTAGATGTGGTGGGGCATAAATTGCATGCATATACATGCTACATTGATTGAATTTCTCCATAGTCACAGAATATTTCTCCTGCATCCAAGTGGCCCCATTTAACTTGATTATTCTTCGGCAGGGAAAATTAAAAAAATACATATATACATAAAATACCACGACTGATGAATACAGGGATTGAAAAATATTCTCTACAGAGACAAATGCTCAGTGATGGAATAAATTTCAATGCTTAATATTATTATTTTAAAAAGGCAAGATTCAGCTAAAGTTAAGTACTTTTGAATGTCATTTGTTTCCATTGGAGAGTATAAGCATAAGACCTTTTGTCTCTGTTATTTGTTTGTTTGTTTGTTTGTTTGTTTGTTTATTTATTTATTTATTTATTTATTTATTTATTTATTTATAACTTATATGCCTCCCACTCTACCCAAAGGAGGTATAGGAATTAAAAAAAATTGACAGAAGCAACATGAGCTAGTAGAAGTGTTAAACGTTTGCCCACTTGATGAAATTCCAGCTTGGCTATGAAACTCACTGGATTGCTTTAGGCACATTGTCTCTTAGAGTAGTCTACCTCATAGGGGTGTTGTAAGAGTAAAACTCATGTACTTCACCTTGTGTTTCTTTGTGAAAGTTGTAATAGGAATATGATAAAACAATAAGAAAGAACCCAGGTTTAGAGCAAGATCCAAAACAGTACTTCTGAGTCCAGTGGTGGCCTTCTGTATCTAATATACCAATGGAAGTGGGACTTTTCCTGGTGCCACAACCTGCCCTGAGGATTTCTTCAGCCTCTGTAACAAGACTGTTAAGATGCAAATGGAAGAGTGATTCCCCATCCTGGCAGAAGCATGGAATCCTTCAGAGGTCCACTATTGCAGTGGTCCCCAACCTTGGGCCTCCAGATGTTCTTGGACTTCAACTCCCAGAAATCCTGGCCAGCAGAGGTGGTGGTGAAGGCTTCTGGGAGTTGTGGTCCAAGAACATCTGGAGGCTCAAGGTTGGGGACCACTGCACTATTGGATCCTAGCTAGTTTTAACTTCTTCAGTAGTTCTGCAGCAAGATGAAGAACTCCCCAAGTTGCTGGTGGTGGGGACTCCACAATATACTCCTCCAGCTCAACAGATGTGCATGTTGTTATGCAGCGGCTGGCTTTTTTAGCACAAGCCTTTTCCTACTTCAGATATGCCTAGTGGAGGGAAGGCTCACCCTTCTGCAAGGGATCACAACCTGTGCTTCATGTACCTAATAAGGTGATCTCCAAGGCTCATCTTCCTTGGCATTGAACAACGTCACCTTAGAGTCTTGTATTCTTAATATGTATTCCAGTTTAAGTCTAAATTTCTATTAAGCTGGCTAGCAATGCAAAGAACTTTGTCCCTTAATTTTTTTTCCAAAAGCAGTAGACTTGTAACAGAAGAAATGGGAGAAACTGATTGCTATCCACAAACATTTGTACTGAAATAAATTTGTTACTCTTGTTATAAGACTTTGTATGTTTACTTGTTGGTTTGGGTTGGTTATACATAATGCCTTAGAGAAGATTTTATTTTTACTTGTTCCCTTCCCCACACACTGCAGGTCCTGGGAAATATACTGACAGTCTTAGCCTTGCTAATTAACCTATGATCATGAGTGGGAGCAGGGCATCTCTGCTCATGAGCTGCCTGTTCTTCCAGAAATCTTGAAGCCCAAGAGCAGTCTGATCCTGCCTACCAAGGTAATTTTCCGTGATGTGGGTTTTATTGGCCAAGGCTATAATTTTGTGTTTCCTGAAATAACTTGCTCCACGTTCACTGAGGAGTAAGTGCCTTTAGCTATCCTTTTGTGCAACTCAAGTGTTGCTTCGTGTGTATGTACGTATGCATGTATGTATGTGAAACAACTGCATTGCGTGTATCTGTGTGTGCATATATGTGAAACTGCTGTTCCTGTTTCAGAAAAGATGGCGGACAGCAGTTATGTAGTTCTTTGTTTGAGGTAAAAAAATATTAAAACCTGCTAATCATAAAATAAAAGTAAGGGATTCATCATTTAAGTGACTTCAAACGGCTGTTTACTCATCACAAGAATGTTTAGACCAGGGTCTTCATTTTATCTACTAGGTTTACTATGGGATTTTTAGAACTGGGTGTCAAAGTGGGTTGGAATTAAACGTATGCACCTGAAAGGTTTAGAACAATAGTTTTCAAACCTTTTTTTTTTCAGGCAGTCTTTTCACATAGAGCTGTCCAAGGCAGGTTCTCCATGCAAACTGAGGGCTATATATGGCCAGTTGTCATAGTGGGTATATATTGCCTCCAGTATAAGGGCATTTGCATACTAGTTCCTGGTGCAACTTTAAGCAGGAAGGTGCTCATTTCATCTTTGCAGACTTCCCCCAGGCAGGGGCTTACTTTTGAGGAAACACGTTTTGGATTTTGCTGTTAAGGGCCAGGTTTATAGCCAAAGATTAGGACAGTGTGTTCTGCTGCGGTTGTTTCATGGAGGCAAGCTAGCTGGGAAAGAGTCTGAGGAAGCTAGCTGGGAAAGAGTAGCCACAGAAACAACAAAATAGCCCCAGCTGCTGCTGTTGTGTATGAGCCGTGTGCTTTCTTCTTGAGGGTTTCATAACAGGATTAAGCAATTTCAACGTCACATGTGTTACCATGGAGACTGTAAATCATTATCATGCACAGTTTCTCAGTCTAGGCGTTTGTAACCAGGAAAGCTTCTTATTACCAGATAACTTTTTCTCTCGCCTTTGGCACGGCAAGATGTTTTGATTCTGAACTTCCGTAATCCCCTGTAAAATGTGCGGCTTACTAGATAACTTGAACCAGAAAGAGGAAGCGTTTTAAAATGTGCGCATTTGACTCTCGCCAATTTCCTCTAGCAACCTTTAGTGGGCTTCAAAAGGGCAAACTGATCCGAACCTTGAATGGAGTGTGAAATGTTAAGAGAAGAGCTTACGTAAATGCTTAAACAAGGACAAAAAAAAAAAAGGGAACGGCTCAAAACTTGAAGCTCAGATCAGATGAGACAAAGGAACATGTACTGCAGAGCTGCAGGATGTACGGCCATCCAGGTACGGCTGAAGACCAGTTCCCCTCAGCTCTAGCAAGCTGGCTAGTGGTAAAGCACTCCCTATGGTTCTACAGAAAGAGGCAGCCTTGGTTCAGCAGCCAATTCCTTGATAATTTCTCCCTTGTTTGTTTATTTATTTATTTATTCATTCTGCCTTTGGAAATGGTCCAGAAACTTAGTCCAGCAGCCGTGGATGGCTCAATCAGTCAAAGTGATCCCAAAATATTATTCCACTGCTTAGACGTCTTCATTGGCTTCCCATCTATATTTGGGCCCTTTTCCGGCTGCTGGTGTTGACATTTTTCTAGTCCTTCACAGTCTAGGATCAGGAGGACTGAAACACCCTCCTTTCTCATGTGTGTCTCCAGATTGGGAGGCGGCCCTTCTTCTAATGCCCAATGCCGGTTCAGGTGCCTGCGGTAAAAGCTGCCTGATTTTTCAGACTGCAGCGCCAAAGCTCTGTAGGAGTGATGTGTCCAGACTCTGAGCACATACAAACATCATGACTCCAGCAGTAAAGCACTCACTATGGTTCTACAGAAAGAGGCAGCCTAGGTTCAGCAGCCAGTTCCTTGATAATTTCTCCCTTGTTTCCTGCAGTATGATATATATGACACTGCCTTTGGAAATGGTCCAGAAACTTAGTCCAGCAGCCGTGGATGGCTCAATCAGTCAAAGTGATCCCAAAATATTATTCCACTGCTTAGACGTCTTCATTGGCTTCCCATCTATATTTGGGCCCTTTTCCGGCTGCTGGTGTTGACATTTTTCTAGTCCTTCACAGTCTAGGATCAGGAGGACTGAAACACCCTCCTTTCTCATGTGTGTCTCCAGATTGGGAGGCGGCCCTTCTTCTAATGCCCAATGCCGGTTCAGGTGCCTGCGGTAAAAGCTGCCTGATTTTTCAGACTGCAGCGCCAAAGCTCTGTAGGAGTGATGTGTCCAGACTCTGAGCACATACAAACATCATGACTCCAGCAGGGAACAAAAAAAGAGATATGCGTGCGGCGGCTGTGACCCTGGGACAAGTTCCTGGGTGGACTGGAAGGGGATCCAGAGCATTCGTGTGTGCGTCTGACACATTCCCAGGACAGAAGTATCCCAACCTTGGATCTTGTGTCGTTAATTTTCTTTCCATTGAGGTCAGTGGATGTGAAGCAGTTTCAAGAAAAGACCAAGAGCAGAACCACTTGAGGAGAAGGAAGTATTGCCCTGTTTCCCTGAAAATAAGCCCTAACCTGAAAATAAGCCCTAGTTAAGTGAAACCCCGCCCTCCACCATTGTGCAGCAACCAGAAGATGATGACATGACTATAAAATAAAACATCCCTTAAAAATAAGCCCTAATACGTTTTTGGAGCAAAAAGTAATATAACACCCTGTCTTATTTTCGGGGAAACACGGTACCTCTGCCCTACCTGTCTGAGGCTGGCAGGGCTTTGGATTTTTCCACAGCCTCCGCATCTGAGCTCTCCACCTGCACAGGGGCACTGCTGTGTTGGGACTGTGTTTTACAGAGGGTAACATGGCAGCAAGTTAATGCTAAGCTGAAAATCACAGAACACAAATGAGAAAATATGGGTACACACGTTGTACACCTTTTTGAGATTTCTCCTCCCTTACATGTTGCAATTGGCTTGTTTGTTTGTTTGTTTAACTGCATTTATACCCACGTAACTTTAGGTTAAGCTACAGGTTACACTTACTGAGTTGTGAACAGTCAAGTTTCTTGGGTTTTTTAATTGCAACCACTGGTGGAATTATTGCTGCAGTCACAGCACAAGGAGATGTTTATCCTTTTTCTCCTCAGCCATGACTTCCATTTCCACAATTTCTATCCCCCACATGATTACAAGGCTTCGTTTTTAAAGAAAGGAGTTCTCATTGGTTTTGGAGATTCATAATTTTCTCTAGTTGCAGTCATAAGGCAGCATGAAGTTGCTAATTATGTGCCACCCGGTAAAAGAACTTCGCATATTTATTAAAAACTGGCTGAAGCCCTCTTGCTTAGTGCAGCTTATAGTCCAGACGCAGGAAATTGGGACTGGTCTGATTCATGCTTAAAAGGTTTTTTATCTTTAGTATGATATGGTTTATCTCTCACTTGAGTTGTCCTGCCATTCAGACTGATTTTTCTCCCATGAGAAGGGTCCAGACAGATCTTTGGATTGCCCCTATTTGTCCCCCTTTGATTAATAACACTTCCCCTCCCACCCTCTCTCCTGCCTTTTCCCACAGACGTGGGCCACTGCAACTTTCCTCTTTTTTCGTTCTTAAATAAAGTGACATAGTGGAATAGCAATGCATCTACCTAATATGGCAGTTAGATGTGGGCCACTGCAACTTTCCTCTTTTTGTTGTTCTTAAATAAAGTAAGTGACATAGTGAAATAGCAATGCATCTACCTAATATGGCAGTGGTGGCGAACCTTTTTGGGCTCACGTGCCCAAACGGGGGAGGGGGGACGGACGGGGCGGTATGCCACCGTGACAGAACCAGAAATGCCAGCTGTGGAACTGGGAGGGGGAAACCCGGGCATAGAGGTGCCTTCAGACCCCACTCCGGATCTGCCGTCAGCACCAGCTGCTCTGGATCCTGACCCCGCCGCCTGTCTGGGCACCAGCAGCTGCCTGCTCAGGTTTGGCTGCGGGGGGGAGGGGGGAGTAGCAATCCGGCGACTTACGGCTCATGTGCTGGCAGAAATGGCTCCGCGTGCCAGCTGTGACATGCATGTCATAGGTTCGCCATCACTGTAATATGATATATATAACACCATCGATGTACAGTATCTTATCTCGAATAGTGCTACATCAATAGGAAAACATATATAAAAAATAAAATGGTAAAATAGATGACAATAGAGGGGAGGGGTTCTCCCTCATCCTCTTCAATGCCACAACTTACAAAATACGTTACAGGATTGTCACCTCAGATAACACTGCCACAGCTCTATTTTGGTGTGGACTGCACAGGCTACAGAATGAGCTGATCAGGAGCACTCTGAATTGCTCCAAAGAACCCTGTAGCCCAACCTCTTTGCCAAAAAAGGAGTAGGACAGTTCTGAAAAGGAGTGGGATGGATCACTCTACGTGTGGATGCAGGAAACCAAACAGCAGCAACAGCAATCCAAATAGCAAACTATTCTGCCACTGTAGACGTGCCCTAGGACTCACTAGAGTGGACCCATTGAATCAGTGGGGGTTTGGTGAGTCAGCTCCTCCATAAGTCAGTCAGTAAGTAAGTAAGTGCTAAAGTAAGTTGCAACTAGAGATGGGTACATACTGCCAAACCAGTGGTTTGTGTCAGTTTGTTTCTGCGCCGAACAGGTGCTCGGCAATTCCTGGCCCCACCTCCTCCGGCGATGCCCAAAGGAGGCAGGGAGGCCAGGTCACTGCCTCTGAGTGGGTGCCCACCAGAGGAGAAGGGGCTGCGAATCGGCATTCCCATCGCTAGTTGCAACTAAAAGAGGCCCATTTGAATCAATGGAGTGTATGGAAGAGATGATTCACCCAAGTCCCCACTGAGTCAACGAGCCTATTGTGACTTACTATGTGAAGCAACAGGATTTCAGACACTGGAGATGACTCACCCAAGTCCCCACTGAGTCAACAAGCCTATTCTAGTGTGCCTTACTATGCGAAGCAACAGGATTTCAGACACTGTCTTGAGACCCTCCTTCATCCCTACAGATACCAGAGCACTATATAAAGAGTTATGACTAGAAGAAAATCCAATAATACAATGAAGACCAATTTGAAGGGAGGGGAAAAAAATCACAGTACAGTAATTAAAATAATAGATTAGCTCACAGACCAATACTTAAAATGCCATATTGGTCCTATTATCTTGCCTGTTTTTTTTCCTTTTCTGCAGACCAGTTTGTTGTTTCTTTGACTGAAACTATATAAAGAGTTATGACTAGAAGAAAATCCAATAATACAATGAAGACCAATTTGAAGGGAGGGGAAAAAAATCACAGTACAGTAATTAAAATAATAGATTAGCTCACAGACCAATACTTAAAATGCCATATTGGTCCTATTATCTTGCCTGTTTTTTTTCCTTTTCTGCAGACCAGTTTGTTGTTTCTTTGACTGAAAAGGGATATTCTTTTTCCCCCTTTTCTACAGACCAGTTTGTTGTTTCTTTGACTGAAAAGGGATATTATATAATTCAGTGTGTCACTGTTCTTGATACGTATCCTAAAAAGAATTCTCTTTCCTTTCCAGGTCTGAAGTGTGAGCACCATGGCTACAAGTGCCGTTCCAAGTGAAAACCTCCCCACCTACAAGCTAGTGGTGGTCGGGGATGGGGGTGTGGGGAAAAGCGCCCTCACCATTCAATTTTTTCAGAAGATCTTTGTGCCAGACTATGACCCAACCATCGAAGATTCATATCTGAAGCATACAGAAATCGATGGCCAGTGGGCAATCCTGGATGGTGAGCCACCGCGTCTGATTTGAATGGTTTTTAATCTTGTAGCTTTCCTTTAACTTCCTGCCTTCATAGAGGTTGCCTTTTGGAACAAGTAAACATAGTGCAACATCAGCTGAGTTAGTTGTGGCTTGCTCTTATTCCCTCCTCAATAGCTTTGTCATTAAAACAAAAAAGAAATTATTCTCCAGTACAGTGGTGCCTCGCTTGACGAGGATAATTCGTTCCGTTCAAATCACTGTTAAGCGAAATCCTCGGCAAGTGAAATGAAAAAACCCATTGAAATGCATTGAAATGTGGTTCAATGCGTTACAGTGGGCGAAATACCTGCTCCTTTTGTGAAGATGCTCCATAGGGTGGCCGTTTTCCGGTGCCTGTAAAGCGAGGAATCACAGAGGTGAGCCATTTTACACAGTGGGCGGCCATTTTAGAGCCGCTGATCAGCTGTTTTAAAATCGTTGTCTAGAGAAAAATTGGTTCCGGAAGCAGGGAACCCATCATTGTTAAGCGATTTTTCCCCATAGGAACATCGTTTTGCAATCGCAATAGCAATCGCAAAAACTTCATCGTAAAGCGGTTTCGTCATTTAACGAGGTAATCGTTAAGCGAGGCACCACTGTACAGCATTTATTTAGCTGATGTTGGCTAACTGCAGTGGGACAAAGAGCTCTGGTCTTCATATAGCTGCCTGCCACATTTCTCTGCCGGGTGCAGGGGATGGGTCTTTGGCAGCTTTTCTGGTGATCACAGAAGTGTCAGAATGCTCTGAGTCCACCCTTCCCACCTGCTCACATTCTTGTCATGTATGTATGTCAGACATGTGGTTAAATACAAGGCAGGTCATATGGGCTGCTGGAGACTTGTTGGGCTTAACTAGCTTTGTGGATTGTGCCGAATTGGTGAATGTTTAATGGTCAGGATAAAGTATGTCTAAGTGTTTTTAGATGAACAATGAAGAATGTTTAATAGCATGCATGTGTGTGTTGGGGGGGTTGGTTATTTGAATTGTAAATAGTTAACTAACATGAGGTGAAAAGGCTGAAGGTTACTTCTACCTGAGGTCTAAAAAAACATGTTGTATATGTGACCCACAGTTGGCAATGTGGCAAAATAGAAAAGAAAAAAAGAACCCAAAAGAGCAGGACTGAGAGAATTATTGAGCAAGTTTGTAGTTTAGGCTTGTAGTTTACAGCTAGTAGCATTATACTGGTTAATGGAATTTTAAAAGTACAGAATCATGAGAAAACATTTCAGCTTTTCTCAGCAGGTCAACAGAGAGGGGCAGTTTAGCTAGCACACAGTAAAATCTGATTTCTTAGCTGGCTTTGAAGGAGATCCAAGGGCTACTTTGTAAGAGTCAGTGGCAATTGTCATCAATCCAGTACTGAAGCAAGGCAGAAGAGAGGTGGAGGAAAGAAGATGATGGCAGCGTAGCCTGTAAAAAAAGAATCTGCAGGAGAAATAGAACTGAGCTGTGAAAGATGAGAGTGGCAGCAAGCAGTATGACAGAGCAGAAGGCAGAAGCTGAAAGAAGGGGAGTAAAGAGGCAGAACTTAAAAACCTTTGGATCCTCTAGGCATAACTGAAAAAATTTCTTCTCTGCTTTTGAGGCCCAAACCAAAAGGAAGATACTGTACTGGGTTGAGATCTCAGCAGGTGTGAACTGGGAAAGTCGAAGGATAAGAATGGGCTATTGGTTTCCACTGACGAAATAGACTAGTTTAAGAGCATGGTTGCTTCCTTAAACATGCAGCAACACTTAAGCAAGCAACAAAGCACAGTGTTAATGCCTAACTTAGTGTGTGTGTGTGTGTGTGTGTGTGTGTGTGTGTGTGTGTGTGTGTGTGTAAGGATCTCACAATAATGTATTTCACATTTAATGCACATTTCTGGGCTGTTTTTCCAGTGCCTGCAGCCTAAACCCAGCAGTTGGATGTGTGGATTTTATGCATGAAAGAGGGACACAGAGGGAAAGAGAATAAGGCATTACCAGAAGTGGTTGGTGGAAGAGGAAATTAACTGATAAGAAAAGCAGGTACATTCAGTTCTTTCTCTGTTGGCTGGTACTTGCAGAGGCGGGAAAATGTCATATTGCACATTTTGTTTTGCTGTACCTTGCCTACAGAAAATGAGATGATGGCAGACCACATTAGGTGGGAACATTCCCCCTAATGTCTAGTATTACTCTCCAAAGTAAAACCCATTTAATGCTGGTCACTCCAGTAATAATTTAATACTAGAGACACCAAGGAAGCACACAGCTGATGTTCTAGACTGACTGTAGCTGCTGGATAGCTCAATGGTTTGCATCTCTGGCTGTGGAGCAGAGGCCCAAACCACTGAGCTGTCCAGCAGCTGTGGAGCCAGAGGTTGGGAGTTCGATTCCCCACTGTGCCTCCTTGACAGGGGCTGGACTCAATGGTCCATAGGCTCCCTTCCAGCTCTGCCGTTCTAAGACTGTTATTATTACTAGTGCAAGTAACATGATGGCCTACACTCACCATTCACCAACAATTCTGGCCAGCACTCCTTATAGCTACACAATTTTACTAGGCCAAAACCCGATGATGGGTTGCTATACCCTCGTAGACCTTAACCTAGAACATTTCAAAACCTCCTGCTTTCTTCCATGAAGGAGCTTCAGTACACTATACTGAAGGATGCTTTTATGTTGATCCTAGGACTGAGTATTGTGAAGAGGTAAAGGATAATATTTATCCGTTTGCTAGACTGAGATTACACACTGGCTTTTCTCCAAGGAGCACTGAGTGACAAGCATGGGATAGATATTATCACAGATAGGCTGTGAACAGGTCAGACACAATATGACTTGTTCAAGACTATTACATGAGCACCATGCAGAGCAGAAATCTGAACCTGTGTTTCCTCCACCCATTGCACCATACTTCCAAGCAAACTGGTTTCTCCCTCTCTCTCCCTCCCTCCCTCCCTCTCACATGCACACACACAAAAATTTAAAGTTGTCACTAGAATCAACTCATCTGTGTCAGCTTACATTCACGGAGGGATGTGTGTCTGTCTAGAAGGCTTGAATTTGGAAGTAATTCTTTTAACTGTGAAAAGAAATACATTTATTCTTTTCCAGAGAACTGCATAGGATTTTATTATAATCAGGGCATATCCAATCTATAAACTACAAGTCATTGTGTAGAGCATGTTTTAAGGTCACTACCATGACTTTCTCAGCCTACAGTTATTTTCATGATTTCTCTCCTAAGGTCAGGATATCTAGTTGCTAATGAGCTAAGTGCATTTATGCACATGCCATGTAGATGCATACTGAGACAAAATCCTGTTGTTGTTCTTGCTCGGCCAATTTTGTTCACTTTTTTAAAAACCGCTTTGATTTCAGTTGAATAGAAAACACTGTCATGGCCACTATCTTTGTATCTGATGATACCAACATTGGTAGACAGACAGTGTTCTGGAGTTGTTCTCATCCTGGAACCAAGGGAAAGGATCCAACAGAATTAAAGACTTTTAGGCTACCTGCCTTCCTGAGAGGAAAAGTCAATTTAGCAGTGTAAGTAAAGAAGAAGAGGGAAGTTGCATTTTTTAAAAAGTGAGCAAAGACTTATAGAAACTTTAGTTGTAGGATGGCTTGTGCTACAAGATTATCCGCTGAACATATTCACAGCATATTCTCAAAGGCTTTCATGGACAGGATCTGATGGTTGTTGTGGGTTTTTTGGGCTCTTTGGCCGTGTTCTGAAAGTTGTATTTCTTAACGTTTCGCCAGTCTGTCTGTGCTCAGAGTCCTGACTCCTGTCCTCTGAAGATGCTGGCCACAGAGACTGGCGAAACGTTAAGAAGAACAACCTTCAGAATATGGCCAAAGAGCCCGAAAAATCCACAACAACCATATTCAGACTTACGATTTTTGGGCAGAGCTCCTAAACCTAACTAGAAATGAATTTCACTGAAAACAGAGGAGCAGGCATTAGGTCCAAAGTTCAATCTTCAGCACCTCCAGCTGGGACTAGGAAGGAATCCTACCTGAAACTCTAGAGAACTGCTGTCCGTGTTTCCGGTGGTGGGCTACATGGGCTAAGAGTCTTTACAATGAAAGGAGCCTCTTATATTCTTCTGACTTCACTCTGAGAAAGTTGGTTAGAGACCAGGTTATTATGCCTTGAAACCATAATCATCTGGGATACACAGAATGTCATTCACCTGATGTTTGATGCATTTCTATTAAACACAGGATCATAGAGTCCAGACGATTTATCTCTGTTTGCTTAAAAGTACTTCTTGTTGAGTGGAGCACAGTTCCAAACGAGTACATAAGGTCGCAGCCTAAATTCTTCCCATAAGCTTTGTCAGCAATTCTTACTCTGTTTTGCTTGGCCCACCTCTTTATGTGCTGTTGCTTCATAGTAAAATTGTGATGTCTTGGCTGTCTGCTTCTGCACAGTTAGGAGAAGGGGGGCGGGGGCTGGCTTGCAAATGAACTGTCCAGAAGGTAAAAGTTCAAAGATCATTTCGCTCTTGCCTAATTTCTTTCATTGTTAAGGAATTTGTTTTTTCTTTTTTTTCCCCCTTTGGTATTTTTTAAAACTCAGTTTCCTCAGTAAGCTGAATTTCTAATCCAGACCTTAATAATAGAGTTCTTTAGAAAAGGAATACTAGCACTTTATGATTGTTGCAAGAAGAGTTTTGTCAGTTTCTTTTTAAAAAAAAAGGGAGGGGGAGTAAATAATCATCAACGACACCATCATCTTAGAACTGCAGAAAAGTTGCTCTGTTTCAAAAACATGCCAAGATGAGACATTTGCTTTAAAAAGCCCAGAGGTAACTCTTCCACCAATGCACACTTTCTCTAATTAACACGGAGCATAATATACCTAAAATTTAAAATGCAGTGTGCATGCTGTTGTGCAGCTCCTGTTCATTTCAGGGAAAAGTACATTGCAATGCTTTTTACCTACTAGGGTGGGAGCATCTTTCAAGCTCCACGAACCCACTATCTTGCTTTGTAGTTAAGGGTGCCACTGCTCCAGAGATGAAATTCTTTCCAAGCCCATACAGTAAAGGAACTTAACCATCTTGAATTCTGAGGTTTACTGAGGTATTAGAAAGAATATAATTTTCTCCCTTTCTCCAGAACAGAGCCCTTTCTCTCTTTTAAAGTAGAGTAGACTTCGGTCTAGATGGGTGGGATATAAATTGAATAAATAAATAAAATTAAAGGAGGTGGAGAAGCTTTCTTCTCTCTTACTCAGCCCATTCCAGTCTTGTGCAATTTTTTCATATCTTTTAAGTATTTAGGGGCTTTGTTGTACCTTGTGGCATGTCACATTGTGGAAAGAGAGGGATGGCCATAACACCTTGCAGATTGGACCCAAAGTGAATCAGTATTTCAGGAATGTCTTTCATGTAATGGCATTAGAAAGAAACCTTGTTGTTCAGATGTTTGTCATGAGTGCACATGCACACACCCACAAAATCTAAAAATTTCAGAGAATTTCTTTTGTATTCCATCAAACAAGGAATATATTTTTATTTATTTGAGGGGCAGGTTGTAAATTTTACAAGAAATTTGTATGAATGCTTGTGTGGGAACTGGTGCTGTTGTATATCCCTCTACCCATGTCATCCATGTTCTGAAAAGTTAGTTCCCTGGTTAGGAATGGGCCCAGTGCTAAAAGCTATACACTGGTAAAGTTTACGTACCATGGACATGTGCCATCAATGGCTGTTTATTTCATTAACATGAGAAAGTGTATGTATGTGTGTGTGTTGCTGTGTTATTTTTCCTTTGGTGTTGCTGTTATGTGGTTGATTTGATACTCTGTGAAGGTAGGATAGTTTGCATCTCTGCTATCAATTATGGAGGCTATAGGATCTGTATCTAGACCAGCCATTCTCAACTTTTGGGGGGGGGGGCAAGGCCATAAATACAATATGAAAGAATTAAATGCTGGATCAGGATGTATAAGTTGCGTAACAAACCTTATAAGGTATTGTGTGAAGAATTACATCCAGTATGTAGATCACTTCAAATGAACCAGCCCCCCTGGGGGGCACATGGCTCCCACTGAGCATGGGTGGCCTAGACTGCTACATGGAGGATTGAGCTAAGAGAGGAGTGATTATAGCCCAGCTTAATCCCCATGCTATAATCGATATCTAGAATTGGCTGTTCCCCAGGAGGATTAGCCAGTCAGTTGGAGATACAGTATGAGAAACCTGCTTGCTGAATCTAGAGACCAGAGAAATCAATCCCACTCCCCTGCGCCAACAGAGGTAAATGTGCATGGAAGCCACATTTTTTTGCTGTGCAAAAGCTAACAATGCAGTTCCCAACCATGGGCCCCGAGATGTTCTTGTACTACAACGCCTAGAAATCCCGGCCAGCACAGTTAATGGTGAAGGCTTCAAGGAGTTTTCATCCAAGAACATCTGGGGTCCAAGGTTGGGAACCACTGTAACAATGGCCACTCAGGGGTGACAAGAAACATACTTGGCACATATTCAGATGAATTCTTGGGTTTTGCATTTTCTAAATCCTTGAGATGAAATTCCAGGTAACCTAGCTCTGGCTCTTAACTAGAGCCTCTTTAGACGTTCAGGAGAAAATACCATCCTTTAAATGTCTATGCCATCCAAGGCTGTAGGAGGCAGATCGTTCACCTGAGACTTCATGGGAAAGGCTTATGGGGACAAGGCTCCAAATGCCTTACTTCTCGGGCACCTTTGAGTGTATAGCTCATTTGACAAGGAGGTACCTTTTCCAAGTATATAGATGGCTTGACAATGAGATATTTTCAGACAGTTACCAGTGCATACTCAGGCATAATCCATACAAAAGCTGTACCTTGTGCTACCCCTTGAGACTTAAATCCATTGACGAGACCTGCTTGCAAAACATGGACATGATATAAAAGAAAACAATTACAGCATGCATACTTTTTTTCCTCTCCTCCTGAGCTTTACTTTGCCTTTGCTTTGTTCAAAGCAGATATTTAGGAGTGGCCTTGAGGTTGCCACTTCTCAGTCTGATGATGAAGAGTTAAAGAAAAGCCCTTTGCTGTTTTTTGTATGAAGAAAAGAATGTTCTCAACAAATGTCTCTTAAAGGATGCCGTAGAGTCAGACCCACACGGGCTGCTAAGGTGTGGGAGCAGTATTTGTCATCACTCCTAACCATTTCTGCAAGGAGAAAAGCTGCTGCTCCAGTGGGGAAAAGGTGGAAAATATTTTAAAAATCGCTCATCATAATGGTAGACATTTAGATCCCCACATATAGAATGCAAAGAGACATAGAACTGGAGGATAAGAACAGCCCTGTTTGGATTAAGTTCATTTCTAGATCAAGGTGCTCCTTTTAAAGGTGGACAGATCGATGCCCCCGGGAAGCACACAGACAGATTAAAGGTGTGATCACATGGGCAAATAGACAGTGATTTGGACTGCTTCTGGAATGATCCAGTTTGATTTATTTCCTGGCAGTCACACAACATATGGGGAAATGTGCTCCAATCCAACCCCAAACCTCACCTTTTTTGGTCCAGCTGCAGGGCTTTTTCTTTTTTAAGGACCAAGGTGGAGCAGTTCCTTGTCAGACATAAGGCTCATTTTAAGGGAGATCATTCTCATTAAAGTGACCCTTTCAAGTACAATCAAGCCCACACCTTTGCAGCAGTTGAATTGTCCCCTAAGATAGTAGTCTTCCCTAAATTGTCTCCACTAGCACCTTTCATACCTCTGCCAAAGCAGAGCTGGTTCAACTCTTAGGAAGAAGTTATATAACACAAAGTCCTTGCTTCCACTCAACTCCTCATCCTCATTCTCCCTCCCTGTCCCATCCTGGTGCTTTCACCATGTGCTGGTGGAAAGTCCTTCCACTTGTGCCTTGTCTTTGTGTTCCTGAATTACTGTTTCTGACTGCTACCCTAGCTCGGGGCTAGGAAAGGTTCCTGTTTTGGACTGCCACTCGGAATTGAGAGCTGGACTGAGTTTGGTAATGTAGTCCAATAACACAAAAACAACACTTCCCATCTCTGGGCACAATGAGACAGCTGGCTCAAAACAGCAGCTGCCTGGAGGTTGAAGGGGAGGATGACCAGCAGTGGCAGCTCCCCAGTTTCTCCAGAACTCTTCAACTGTATCCTTCTGCTGGAGAACAAAGTTATGTATGTCATGCATCCCTGTCCTGGGCCATCAAGGGAGCCTTGCTGCCTCCAGCATGGCAACATGTGATTGGATTGCCAGTCCTGAACAGCCAGTCTTGAGCTGCCTGTTTGTGCAAGAGCTGTGAAGAGAAGGCCATTTTGTCATTTACTTCTAGTGAGAAAACGCGGTGAGTGCAGATCTTCCATTCATGATCTATCATTTCAGATGGACCCTGTCTCTATGCATCTGATCTTTTCATTGGACTATAAAAGCACCAAGTCTCCGTTCCTAGCATGACAGAAAGAGGGACTGGCACTAGCTCTCTGTCTCATTGCATTGTTGCAGCTTACAGATGTTTTGTAATAAAATGATTTCTTCAGGTACATGTTAAGGGCTAAGTTGAATGAATAGCTGTAATTGAAAAGCATTACCACACTCAAGGGAAGTATTCCTGTTGCAAAGCCCAACCAATTTGAGTCTGGTATGCTGAATTATACTCATTCTCACAAATGTTCTTTTTTTAAAGAAAAAGAGAGAAAGAAAAAGAGGGGAGCTAATGATTTCAGAGACTGAGACTTGAGACGTAAACAAAGCCCTCTTCATTCATGCCTTCCTGTACACCTCCAGTGCAGAGAGAAGTTGAGGCAGAATCTCCCAAGCCCAACATCTGTGCTTTGGGAAAAGTCCAGTTATTTGTCCTCATTAGCATTGAATCAACAAGACTTGCATCAGTTTCCATGTAACACGTTCCTTTAATTCACTGGCAGCAAATGTTGGATTTAGCCTGTTGGGTGGCATATATGATAAGGAGTTGTCTGGGTGCATATAAGTACACATGCTTAGGCTGTCCTTTTCACTTACTCTGCTCAATACATGCATGTTGGAGGTGGTACAAGTAAGAGTCCAACCTCCCCAGGCACCTTGGTGTATTCATGGTGATATATTCTAGGATTTTTTCTCCCAAATATAAATGCTTAGGCTAAGAGATGTTGTTTGGTAAATATGATGTTTTGGGCAGGATGACTGAATAGCCTGTCCTTTCTCTTTCCTTGCTATTACTAGTTCTAGATACTGCAGGCCAAGAAGAATTCAGCGCAATGAGAGAACAGTACATGAGGACAGGAGATGGGTTCCTTATAGTCTATTCGGTCACAGATAAAGCTAGCTTTGAGCATGTGGATAGGTTCCATCAACTCATCCTCCGAGTCAAAGACAGGTGGGTGCCCTGGACCAATGAGTTCTCTAAACTAGAAATTCTACATGTATATGAACCATTCTGGATCATATTAGCTAAAAATGTATAGCTTTCCAGTGAAGTCAGTTGCGGTACTGTCAGCTGCCAGCCATGTCTAATCATCAGAAAAATCCAGTAACGTGCTTACAGGCATGAACCAAATTAAAGTTAAAGGTTTTAGCTTCTTTTTCACCATACCTAATATGCTATGAATGGTTCATTTTAATGGACAAACATCAGATGAGAAACACCATGATAGCTCACACTTTCCAGGCTACATTCATGATTTTATCATCATTAATGAGGTTGCATGAGACTGAACAAGCTGAAACTAAATCCTGAAAAGGTAGAGGTCCTGGTGGGTCAGTAGAGAATCAGATTCAGGAATTGGGGTGCAGCCTGTTCTAGATGGGGTTGAGATTCCCTTGACAGTGGCTGGTTCATAGTCTAGGAGTGCTCCTTGACCCTTCACTGTCACTGGACTCTCAAGTGACAATGGTAATGAGGGATGCCTGTGTACAACTCTGCTTAGTGTGCCAGCTATGACCTTTCCTGAGTTGACCATAGTCATCCATGGTTTGGTTATGCCTTTGACTTTTTCAATGGTTGTATTTTGGGGCTACCCTTGAAGAGGGTCCAGGATCTTCAGCTGGTGCAACATGTGGCAGGTCGGCCACTAACATGTGTATAGTATCGTGATCACATGGCCCTGACATTGAAAGACCTGCACTGGTTGCCCATTGTCTACCAGGCCCAAATCAAGGTGTTGGTCTTAACCTTCAAAGCTCTAAACAACTTGGGTTCTGGTTATCTAAGGGACCACCTGTCTCATTATGAGCCCATCTGGACATTAAGAGCATCAGGGGAGACCCTCTGAAAAATGCCAGCACTTTCAGAGGCCTGCCTAACAAGCCTGCAGGAAAGGGTCTTTCCTTGTGTGAATATACTCCCTTCCAAGTTGTGATCTGTTTCCACTCTAATTGATTTTGAGAAAGAAGTAAAAGCATATCCTTCTATACTGAGTTATGATATGTGACCTGTATGACCTATCTAATCTGTATTGCTGATCTTGCCAGTTTTAATCTATGTATTTGCTTAATTTTAATGGGGTTTTTCCCAGTTGAACTGGTTTATATGATTTTATTATCTTTTAGCTAAACATGATTTATTCTTTTAAACTGTTTGCAAGCCACTTTGAGTGCTGTCTTTTAGTGGAAAGTTGGAGAATTAATTAATTAAGTTATCTTTCTGAAAACTAAAAGTCCCAAATGCTTAGACCTTTCAGACCGAATATTTCGTTGCCATTTTTGCACCATTTCCAGCATTGCAATACATTTTTGAGATGGAGTAAGAAATGTACATTATAATCCAAACTCAGGTGCACTACAGGTTGCTATGAAGGTGATAAGATAGCAACTCTTTTTTTTACTTATAACCATTTCCCCAATAATGCTCAGTGTGCAATTTACCTTTTAAACTACCACCACCCAGTTGTTGTTCATGACCTCAAAATAATATCTGGCTAAATGGCACTCACTCAAGTCCCATATAAAGCTTGGAGTGGGGGGGTGTTCCAGTGTGAATCACAATTAACCTCCTTATATTTATTACTTTGTTTTGTGGGCAAAGCATTTTGGCACTCTGCATACGCAGATTTTTGTCATTCTCAATAATACATGGTGCATTCCAATAACCTGGCTATTTCACTGTTCACCCCTACCTCTAGAACAAATTAAATAACATCAGTCTGATATGGTTCTTTGGCTGCCTGTCAGCTGCACACAAGAAACAATCTATCATCTGGAAATTCCTTCAAAACTTTGTTTGAGACCTTTTGTTCCACGGTGTGTGATATTCTTTTTTCCAGGGGCAGGTTTTTACTAAAGTGCTAGAATTAAAATTGCACACAGTAAATGCCGAGAATGTTGTGTTGATGCCTTCCTATTCTTCTCATATTCCAGAGAATCTTTTCCAATGATTTTGGTGGCCAACAAAGTGGATCTAATGCATTTGCGAAAGATTACCCGGGAACAAGGAAAGGAAATGGCAGCAAAGCACAATGTATGTCCTGTTGGTCTGTTCTCATAGATTTCTGTGTTCACTTTTCTTTGTCTTTTTTATGACCAAGCAGAGCAGCCAGGGTTTAGAGGATATCTGCATGGCTACAGTCCCTGGTTCAAAAAGTCCCTGGCATTTTCTTTTAGCATACTTATTGGTAATAGTTCTGATAAAGTACTAAAGCAGAACCAGCTTTAATACTTTATGCAGGAGGATGATATTCAGTCAGAACTAGTTGACAGGATTGTAAGAGGACAGTTTATCGCTATCATACACGGGATGGCCATGTTGTCCCTGTCGTGCGTTGTATGATTGTCACAGACATCACCAAGCATCTTAGTGGGTCATGATGGTGGGGGCAAGGGTTTTATGACCCTCCAGATCTTATTGGACTGCACCCTGGTGTGCTAGCCAAAGGTGAGAGATGTGGGAGTTGCCACCCCCAAATCTGAAAGGCCACACCTTCTCCAGCCCTGCAGTACAGACTATTAGGGAGAGATCAAATAGGAAAGGGTGCATGTGGCTGCTTAGCAATGGCACAGGGTTACGGGTGAGTTTCTCTTCCAAACTGCTTTGCATGTGTTTTTTTCCCATAATTCCACCCTGTTTCCACACTAATTTGTGGATGCAAAGAAGAGAGAGAGAGAAATTCTTCTCAAGTCTTTGAGTATCATGCTGATATATTTGAACTGGCAGGAACTAACTGTTTCATAGTATCCAAAGGCATCAGTCAAGAGGTGAACATGAGGTCATCTGAAAAAGGAATTCAGTGAGATCACATTGCAAAAGCATCAATGCATGGATTAGTGTAGTTAAATGACAAAAGTGAAACATGCTGTCTTGGCTTTTAGGGAGTAGACTGAAGCTGTTCCACAAAGATTGCATTTTTTACAACTACATCTTTCTTGGGTTTAGGGTTAGCTAGACAGGGCTTCAGATTCCCCGTACCTTGATAGGATTGAAAAAGTCTTAGATAGATTAGGCAGTGGAACACATGGAGGGAATGGGGGAGAGAAGGCTGTATTAAGAAACAGAGAAACATGACTTTCTTGATCTCAGTTTACAAGAATTAGGGGTCATCCAGTTAAATGCACTAATACTGGTACTTTTTCACTTAACAACCCAATCATGTGGTTGCAATTTAAAAAACATTCCTGGTGAACAGATTGGCTGCATACATGTGAGTCTAATTACACAATTATTCACCCTAACAAAAATATGTATTTTTTCTTTTCAGTCAATCTTTTGGGCATGTAGTTACAGTAGTTATTTTGCTTGTTTCAAATGAAAGCATTTGCATGATACCCTTTCCCCCAGTAAAATGGCTCTCCTTGTGCACATAAATATGCACTACAGACTTTAATGTGGTTTAATAGCCATTTCACTCCCCAGGCCATAATACCACCTTCCATGAACTACCATTTGCAGGATTTTTTTTTTTGAAAGAAGCCATTCTTATTAAACTGTTATCAAACTGATGCAAGATAATTGCATAGCTATGCTACTAATAATCACCCTGGTACAAAAGGGCTTAGAGCAGAAGAAACTTTGAACATATTAGCAATACTCACTTGTTATTATTGTTAATTTTCCGTATCAGTATATCTCTTTCTGAACAATCCTCTCATTTCTCTTAATCTCCAGTTATCTAACTTCCTGTCTACAGGCCTGGTTAGATAAAAGGCAGGATATCATAAATATAGTATAGATCACCTCCTCCCACCCACCCCTCCTTTTTGTTGTTATACTGGGAACTCTGCTGTGTACTCTCATATTTCCTTTCTTGTGAACGTTCTCTTAAGGCATCTCCTTTTTGGTAACATATATTGAAGAAACACTGGGCTTTTTGCTTTCCAGATTCCTTATATAGAAACCAGTGCGAAGGATCCGCCGCTTAATGTTGACAAAGCCTTCCACGACCTTGTTCGAGTAATCAGGTGAGCCATTGTTCTTCTGGTTCCATCCAATACTGGCATGATCTAGAAGATGTTCATCAATTATGAAACATGTGCAAAAGGAAGAGCTTGTTCATATCTAGCTGAGCATCAATTGTAATAGAACACTAACTACGGAGATCGTCTACTTAGTTGACGATCTCACCAGACAAATTGTAAAGTACTAATGCAGACTTTTATCTGGATCAGAAATACATCCCTTTATCTCTCCATCATAGATGGTCCACATGGCCATCTCCATAAGAGCTTGGTCAACTGAGATTAAGTCACCTGGCTTCATAGGATGATCAGTTCTCAGGTCAGCCCAACACACATATGACAGCTCCGGACACTGTATGATTTAATGTGCAAGACTAATGCCTCCTCGAGTGGTGTGTAGAGATACTTAGGTATTACTGAAGCCTCAGAGGGTGCACTGGGCCATGCCCAACACCACCAAATGCCTGCACAAGTAGTGGAAGGTAAGATAATCTTCCAGACAAGGTGACCTTATTGCCCTCTTACAAAAATTCATATCTACAGTCCTCTGATTAGTTCCATAAAAGCTCCATGTTTCCCAAACATACAGTTAAGAGGAGTGGCGCTGGATGCCAGCCCAGTCTGATAGACCCCTGTCCTGTCAGTGGAAAGAGGAGACCAAGGAAAATTGGATGGATGAGACAGTCCTCTAGGAGTTATCTCTGAAAATGTTTGTTGAATATTGTTTTGGTATACCCACCTTTTCCGTGTTTTAAAGCATTTTATGCTAGGTGCAGTGATGGCCCAGGGACAGGAATCCCGTAGTAAACTGCAACTACAGTAGGCTCATTGAATCAGTGGAGCTTATGGAGAAATTGACTCAAGAAATCCCCATGGGCTCAATGGGCCTGCTCTAGTTGCAATTTACTGCTGGGTTTCAGCTGATGTAACTGAGCATATTTTGCCAAATTATCATTATTCTGTGCCACCAAGTCAGAACTGACTTATAGCAACCCTAATACGGCTTTCAAGATAAGTGAGATATTTAAGGAGTGACTTTACCTGTTTCACACACGCAGGGATTTGAACCCGAGCCTCCTGAACTATAGTCTGCCACTCTACCCACTATACCACACTGGGTATCCCATTTTGCCAACGAATAGTAAAATATTAACCTTCAAGCAACTGAACTGTGTGTAAAGAAAAATGTGAAAGCTGGATTTGACCTGCCTGCTCTTACCAACTTCCAGCTGGGCTCTTAACGTGCCTGGAAGTGTAGCTTGGTGATTAAGTTTCCATTACTCTTACTTGTACTGCAGTGTCTGGTTTTCTTCTCCTTTTTGGCAGCAGTCCATGGGTACAGGATGTCTTTAGCCATTTGAAACATAAAGTTTTATTATCCGCTGAGCAGAGAAAGCCTGGCAAATTCCTTTGCAAAACCACTGTGGTGAAATAAAGGAATTCTGTATCTTTTCTTCCTATGTTAGGATGCTTCCCACCTTGGTGGCAGGTTTTCTTTCAAGTGGTTTTTAACCTCCCAGAATTCTACCACATCTTGCTTGTGCATCCTGCAGTATATGTTGGACTCTGTACCCCTGAGAAGTTTTGATATGCGGCTAGGTCATTTTTAGTAGATTTCACAATGTCCTCATCTGAAAAGTTGGGTTGGTTCCACAGCTCTTTTGCATCATAATAGCGCTTCTACAGCGGCCACCCTTGCTGACTTTGGAGGAAACCTAGAAACATTTTGGTTTTGTCTTTGGAAAAAAAATGTGATATTCACTCTGAAGCTTTAGAGATGGACAAGCTGCATATCTACATGCATTTTCAGGTGGGAGCTGGAAGTAATTTAATAGTAACACAAGGTCTTCAGAGAGTGGAAATCAGGCTGACTCTCTGTATAATAGACCATTGGACAAACTATTGTTCCGTAAAATAGAGCATTGCTGTTTGTTCAATTTATGAATAGAGAAGTAAATAGCTGGGGCCAATGTTACTGTTGGTGCATTCTGCCTCTTTCATTCCTTTTTCTGTACCCATTCTTGAAGAGCAGAAGATTTGGGGGGGGGGAGAACACATAGTGCTTTTTCTTTCCTTTCTCTCTCTCTCTCTCTCTCTCTGTTTCGTTCCATATCCCCTTGTTATTCTGTTTCACCTGAATTAGATGATCAGTGGCTTGCTCTGTCAAACTAGGAACATAGTCTAAAGCAGCAGAGAATAACCTTTGGTCTTGCAGGTATTTTGGACAATAGATCTCACAATTCCTTATCTTTGGCTATGCTGGCGGGTCTTCTGGGAACTGAAGTCCAAAGCAATGAGACTGCTGCACACTGCCCATCGTGTGTGTGTGTGTCTGTGTCTGTGTCTGTGTCTGTGTCTGTGTCTGTGTCTGTGTGTCTGTGTTGGGGGGAGGATTTGTCATCATGATGCTTCTTTCTTTGCAGTTCTGTCTTCCCTGATTGTCTCTTGTTTCTTGGACAGAGCAGGTGGCACCTATCCACATGTCCTAGAATTTAGGACTCGGATCCTTTCATTTGGCACCAGACATGGTAGCAGGAGGAAGGGGAAGCCACTTGGGGAATATGGATGGAAGTGCTTTTTTAATCATTTCCCCATTTGGTTATCTTGGCACCAAGAAGTACACCATATTTGAGAGGATGCAGCCAAATTTTTCCACATCCTGTGTCAGCTGCTGAAGGAACACAAATTGATTCACAGCAAATGCACAGAATTTTCCAGTTCTGCCCAAGGAAATCACTTGTCAGGCTGCTCTACCAGCTTACAGCAAAGAAAGGGAGACATGGCACTGTTTGGGTATTCCATTGACTAACAGCAGCCTTTCAGCTTCTAGGATGCCTCTGATGTAGGGCTTAAACGAGTCTGGAGAGGAATGAATGAAATCTTCAGCTTCTTCTGATCCTTGGGTCCTTCCACTCTATCTTACAGAGTTACATTGAAGAACACAGAGTATACCTACATAATGCTACCTGGAGTTTCCCAGGAAGGGACCACAGCAGGAAGGTTAATGGGCACTATAATCCCCAGTACTGCATCCATAGGTTTTCTCTCTTTGAGGTCCTGTATGCCTGATGTTCCCCTTCACCCAGGTTCTCTGCTGGCATCACCTCAGGGACTACAGTATGGGTTCTGGACTTCTGGGTTTCAAGTCCTCTGTTCTTGGGTTTCTCAGGCACCCATTCTACCCAGAGATCAGTGTCCCCAGTATGTGGTAACCATTTCCTCAAGTGAAAGGGGAGATGACCAGACTCCTAGTGCTGGTGTCTTCGTTCTCACAGAAGTAAAAGAAGAAAAATATTTTCCTCACCAAGACCTGTTAAAAGGAGTATCTGTTCCCAACAGTAGTAATAGTTACTGAACCTGGCAGTCTCATTAACTGCATATCACTTTTCTGTGAGGCCATGACTCGCAAAAGTGATATGCTTTCTTGCAAAGAATAACATGTTTTGATCTCTTTGTTTTCAAAAGGGCAATCTTCCCTTCAGTATGCTATCCCCAGGGCTACCATTAGGCAGAGTAAGGCAAGTGCTTCATGTGATGGATGCTGTGGGGGGGGCACCATTGGCAGTGTCCCCACCACCACCACCCTTTATTTCCTGAGACATGTGGTCATTTCTTTCCATGAACAGAGCTGTCTGTGCCACAGCTGTCCTGTCCTTGTACCCTAAATTATCCATCTGTTCTCAGGCATGATGGAAGATACTGTCCAGTTGCCAAAGTCACATTAAGATCCAGCTCCCGGCCTAGTCATATGGTGTCTATGAATGGATGAGAAGCACCATCTTGTTCTTTGCCTGAGGGGACAAAATGTCCTGGGTCAACACTGGTTGTTCCAGCTCTAAAGCACTGAAGTGGCCGCATGGTCGGCCTAGAGTCAAGAAGTGTATTTATTAATATCAGTGTCATCACTGTCCTCATCTTCGCCCTGCTGCCTCAAGGTTTCTAGCGTTTATAATTTTAAAAAAATCATTTTTCTTGAGTCTGATTCTGCCATCCTGAGCTGCAACCCTTTCCTCATCTATCTTCTATGAACGCCCGCTCTCCATTCCCAGCTTACAGACCCTTTTTCTATAATGGGACATCCGGAACAACATGACTTTGGATTTGGCTGTTCATTATTTATTGATCTTTCATGCCACATCATTCACTAAGTCAGGAAAAGAGGGACACACCCTTGCCTTGCAATGCTGTTCTCTAGGAAGCCTTGCTAGAATAGAGGCTCTGTTTGGCTGCCAGTGTTAGTTGTACAAAACTGGCAGAGTTAACTTGACGTCTACAGCAGACAAACTCTTCAGTCATGGCTGAGTCTTCCGTTTTTTTCTAGCTGGCAGGGGAGGCATGACAGAGAGGAGGGTTTTTGAGGGCAGAAAAGTTTTCTAAATGCTACTTTTCTTGGTCTTGACCCATAAACTGCATGTCATCAACGTAGCCGTGCCATAGCATGTTATTATTCTGCTTCTGCCTTTTCAGTTCTGTACAACCAAGTTTCTCTGTGGCACTTTTGGCTTCTTGAAGTCACTGATTTGGGCCAGGTCTTTCAGGGAGGACGTGGTTCAGGGCCATCCTCAGTGGCACAGGCTGACCCTGAAGAACATAAGGATGGCTTATAGGTTAAGGATAGAAGGTATGCTGTAAATGTGTAGAACCCCTGCTTGTGAAAGTAGGTCTGGGAAGAAGAGTCTTGGGCTGCTGAAGAAAGTCATACGAAATGGTATATAGGCTAGAGCCAGCAAATGGCCTTCCTCAGCTCATGTCTCATAATTTATTGTGGCTAAACTCTTGTAAATACTGATCTAGAAGTAAATCTCGTTGAGCAAGTGTGACTTGTTTTTAAGTAGATATGTGTAGCATTGAACTTCTCCAGGCGTCCCTTCAGAGGTCAGTGCACTGCAGTCTGCATCATCCTTCAGCATTCGTTCTCCTGGCTAGGTGCGACTGCACAAGAAGCTGCTGAACTGTATCTTTGAAGACAAGGCTTTATTTGTTGTCCATGTTCAGAAGCTGGCAAAAATACAAAGGGGGGCTGGAGAGTGAAAGTGTCACAAGAGAGCCACCAATACTCTTGGTGTACTCATGTTCCTTTTTGCTCTACTGAAGCTTTTGCTTAGACAGGTTTCACAGGCTTTCGAACTGGTATATATGGGTCCAGACTAGACCTATAGTCACACATGTATCTTTCCATTGTTTTTTACATCTTGGATGGATGCTTGATTGACTGATTGATTGATATTTCTAATTTTAAAAACTAGTTCAAAGAGTAAGTGAAAGAACCCTGGGGGCATAATTCTTTTCTTATTTTGTATTCGTGAAGGCTTTCACGGCTGAGATCTAATGATCGTTGTGGGTTTTTCAGGCTCTTTGGCCGTGTTCTGAAGGTTGTTCTTCCTAACGTTTCACCAGTCTCTGTGGCTGGGATCTTCAGAGGACAAGAGTAGCACGCTGTCCTCTGAAGATGCCGGCCACAGATACTGGTGAAACGTTAGGAAAAACAACTTTCAGAACACAGCCAAAGAGCCCGAAAAACCCACAACAACCATCTTTTCTTATTCCTTGTTTTCCAGCTCAAAATGTTATTTCCAAGCTTCTTCTTCTCCCTAGAGGAAAAGAGGGGGGTACTCATTTTTATTCCTTTGTAGAGAGAGCAGCAGTTGAGGAAGAGTAGTTTTGAAATCCAAATGGTTTGGAGAGGATATCAGAGAGATATTTTTCACATTACTGAGCACTAGATAGCTCAGTGGTTTCCCCACTTTGTCTCCTTTGAGTAGAGCCAGCCTGTGTGGCCTTGGGCAAGCTGCACAGACCCAGAGCAACCCAGAAGTAGAGAATGGTTTAAAAAAGTATGTGTATTTACTACCTGAAAAACTCTGGAAAGGTCACCATAAGTCAGAATTGACTTAACGGCACTTGATTATTATTAAGCACCAGAAACAATTTTGAAACATTACAGTGAGCTAAATTAACCCCAGCAAGGTTTCCAGTTCTGCTGCATTCTAATCACTAGACTCTGTAGTATAAATATTAAAATGCTGTCCCTGCAAGGCACAGCTTTGCACTAGCAGTTAGGTGGGGAAGTTGGTTGAATCCCAAAGGTTTGTTGCTGCCAAGAGCGAAGGCTAACGTTCTCACTAAATGTAAGCATACTGTGCGTGTGTACTGAAATTACTTTTGTAAATAGTCAAAAACAGTTCCAAGAGAGGGCAGAAATATTTCCTTACCTTTTCCTCTTCCAAAGTAGTTCCAATCCAAGTGCTCATTACTACTAACAGATATATGTGTATATTTTTCCTGTCTTAAAAATAGTACCAGTGCATCATTTAATTTTCTTTGACAGGCAACAAGTCCCAGAGAAGAGTCAGAAGAAGAAGAAGACCAAGTGGCGAGGAGACAGAACAGCCAGTTCCCATAAACTGCAGTGTGTGATTTTGTGACTGCTGCTTCCATGTTTCCCTTTTTCCATTCCAACATGCATCCAAGATTAATTGAAAGAAGAAGACAGGTCAGCCCTTGAAACACTGTCCCACCTAATGGTGATGTAACATTTCAAGCAAAATGATCCTTGCAGGAAAGGATTTGGCAGGAGACGAGTCCTCGGTCTTTTTTTGGGAGCTCAGCCAAAGGACTGCTTGGCAAATCGTTTATACAAACACCTGAAAAGCAGGGAGCAAATTAGGACCAGAGTGTTAAAATCATCAACCATCTCAACCATCTCTATTTTATAATGGGAAATGAGGGAAGTATGATTCTACGTGCACGCATTTCTACGTATGGCTTATTTCTAAACGTGGTTCCATTTTGTACAGTGTGGGGGCGGGTGGGGAAGAAGTAGAGAGTCAGTATTCCTTGCTCAATGAGCACGGAGCAAGAAAGAGATATAGGAGATTTATTTCTCTTCCACTGGACGCTCCCAGATATCCTCTCAGCAACACCATACTGCAACTTTATATGAAAAATGCATAGATCTGAAGGAAGAAAATGAATTCCAGCTGCTCTGGGGACTCCAGACATTGTGTCATTGGCTGGAGAGTAGCCAGCTCTTCTGAAAAATGCCAGCAAAGAGGGCGGAAGAATGGGTTTGGTGATTGGTGGTTGCTGTTGTCCTTGTTGTTAATGGGGTGGGGGTGGGAGTTAGCATGTTGAAGCTACCATGAGGGAGGGTAGGATTTGCTAATCCTGAAAATATTTAAATTAAAAGTTATTTACAAAATTACAAGTTAGAGTATTTTGTGTGTGTGTGTGTGTGTGTGTGTGTGTCTACAGATGTTAACAGAATGTACTGAATACCTTTCGCTGTGAATTTTGGTGTCAAAAGAAAATTCTAGATGCCTCTTGTTTTCCTTTTATTTCTGAAGTGAATAGGGCCTGTCTCCACTTCCTTAAAATTTGTTCTCATATTACATATATTTTTCAGAAAGCTACCTGCTAAGAAACTCAAACATTAAATTATTTAATCTCTGTCTCTGAGTTTCTTACGCACACACTGACACACTTGGCTCAACAGATGCAGAAGTATTGCACGTAATTTTCAAAGTAATGGCATTTAGTTCTTAACTTTTACTCCTTGCCATATTTTTATATGAAAGCCTAATCATTTTCAAAATATTGTCCCATAATCACTGTAAAATTAAATGAATACTCATAGGAAATAATTGTTCTTTTATTGCTTAAGGCAAAAATGAGTAAGTGCAGGACATCTCTACATAAATGGGGATGATGTACCAGAGGCTTTGCACAAATGGCTGCCCAACATTTATCACTCTGTGGTTAGGGAAACCCCAGGGATAGTTTCATTGAATTACTCCAGGGAGAGAAGAAATTATCCAAGAGTTTTTCAAAGGTAAAGCTCAGCACTATTAGTGGTTGTAGCAGAACTTCTGAAAAAACGTCTTGATCATTTTTGTTTCAGCATTAAGGATCAAGATATGCCCCAATATTCAGGGGAAGGGGGTGATGATAGTAGATACATCTTGACTTGAGATATTTATAAAATTGCTGTGTCCCTCCAAAACCTGGGTGAGGTGGGGAGGGAGCAGCATTGTGTCCAGCTCCGTGAAATGAGTGCTGTGCCAAAATTTACCCTCCCAGTTTCCAGAATCTTTTCCTCCCTCATGGAGGAGGCTGCTGTTGTTCTACTTCATTCTCGGAAGGTTTTAGAGTTTCTCCTAAGGCTCTTTTTGAGCTTCTCTTATTGTTACAAGCTAGTCAAGGCCCATGTGTCTTTTCTTTTCAGTTACATACCTGTCTGCAGTCTGCTTTACTTCCTGATCTAAAAAAGTTCGATGGGTCAGGCATCACCTTATATAAGGTAAAGGTTCCCCTTGACAAATTGTCCAGTTGTGTCTGACTCTAGGTCCTCATCCGTTTTTCCAAGCTGTAGAGCCAGCATTTGTCCAAAGACAGTTTCCGTGGTCACATGGCCAGCGCGACTAGACACGGAACACCATGACCTTTCCAACGTGGTGGTACCTACTTATTTACTCGCATTTTGACATGCTTTCGAACTGCTAGGTTGGCAGGAGCTGGGACAAGCGACGGGAACTCACTCTGTTGCATGGATTCGAACTGCTGATCCTTCGACTTGCAGCCCAGAGGCTTTGCGGTTTAACCCACAGCGCCACCACACCCCTTATCACCTTATATACCTCTTTGCTAACCCTGATTTCCTGGCCTGGAACTGAAGCATGAGAAGAAGAGGATGGAGGATGATGGAGGGAGATTGAACACCTACAACTAGCTCCTCAGCCACCTCCTGAGTATGTTTAGCACAAGAACACCAAACCTCATTCATAGAAATGTCTCCAATATTTTCTCCTTAGAGCTTTTTTTACAATAGTAAAAAGTTCTGTCAAATTGAACAAGAGTGATCAAAAACAAGGATAAAGACATCTTCAGCTCAGTTCCCATATTCAGCTGACTAGCCCCTGTACTCCATGTTGTTCAACTCTGAGCTTGTATACATAAGATAGTCACTCTATTGAGGCCATTTTAAATCATTCCACCTGGTACATGGCCACAGCTTGAGACTTTAACTTTGAATGTGTAGTACTTCTTCCCCCTTCAGTGTATTAAAACTGAGACATTGCTGAATAGTTAGTAACTTGTGGCTACATTCAACAACTCATTCCATTACTTGTTGCACTGCTTTGTTTTAATGCATTGCACCAATTTTGGGGGAATTTAGATAAGAGAATAAAATAAAACTTGGAAGTTCTTGAAACTGTAGTCGTGTTAGTCTGCTCAAGCATTTAAATGAGGAACACAAAATGAACCACAACAAAAAGATGTGACAACTTAAAGAGTAACTGTTATATTTTAATGTACGTTTTCAGAGGTAAAGGTAAAGGTTCCCGTTGACAATTGTTGTCCAGTCGTGTTCGACTCTAGGGGGGGGTGCTCATCCCCGTTTCCAAGCTATAGAACCAGCATTTTGTCCGAAGACAATCTTCCGTGGTCACGTGGCCAGTGTGACTTAGACACGGAATGCTGTTACCTTCCCACCGAGGTGGTCCCTATTGATCTACTTGCATTTGCATGCTTTCGAACTGCTAGGTTGGCGGGAGCTGGGACAAGCAACGGGAGCTCACTCTGTCGCGTGGATTCGATCTTACGACTGCTGGTCTTCTGACCCTGCAGCACAGGCTTCTGTGGTTTAGCCCGCAGCGCCACCGCGTCCCATGTTTTCAGAGAACATAGTCCATTTCTTCAGACATAAGAGTTCGAATACAGGGACTACATGGTAAAACATTCAAGGCTCTAAGATAAAGGGACAGTAGCATTTGGTTGCATTTCACATCTAAGAATGATTTAAGACCCCCTGTTTGGTATTCAGTTCTTATGAAGCTTGAACAATTCCTGTCAAAATACCTCTCTAATGCTTTAAAATACTCCTTTAAAATAACTTTTGAAAGTAACTAAAAAGTAGCTTTGTTCCTTTGAAAGGCAACCTTTTCATGCCTAGATTACCCAAAAAGTAACTAACCACAAGAAAGCAATGTGTCTTATTACTTTCAAGTTCTGTACTTGGCTTGGGTATTAACATGTCTGTAGCTCTTGAACTGCAACTTTATGATACGGGTTACATCATTTATGGGGACCATCCCAGATAGTTTTTGGCATGTGTGAAGGTTTGCATGATGCAAATCCTGAAATCCAGGCAATGAGCTGAGGCAGACACGCATAGCTTTCAGAGAAGAGAGTGCCGCCCCAGGGGAGCTGTTTAAAGCTGCCTCCTTGCACGTGAGATGCATTAACACATTTTCAAGCTAGTTTTTCTCACCCAGTTAAAACAACTACTTCTCAAGACAAAAGAGTAATTAATATGCAGCAGCTCTGTGGGAACAGCCTCTTTGGCCTTTGACAATCAAGGCAAGGAATTCTGAGGGTGGTTGGTGCACTCTTTGCATCTCAATAGCAGGAGTGTCTCTCTCTCTCTCTCTCTTTTTGCTTTCTCCAGCCTTCAACCGCTGAACTGTGGGAACCAGCCCAAAAGTCTGGCCACACGCTTCTGGTTACAAGCATGCTCTTTTCTGAATATGCTTCAGAATCAAGAACCAAACTTTTCCAAGGGGTGGGGAAGATGAAACAACAACAAAAAAAGGGCAGGAAATTCGAAACTGAGGATTGATGCTCCAGCCCTGGCTCACACCCTTGTGGGGCAGCAACAAAACAATGGTGTGAATTGGACTTGCAGCAGAACCCTCCCTTTCCTCTTGAAACTTCCTGCCTTTGGTCATTTTGATTCCAGAGACCTCCTTTCTTGGCTGAATTCTCATCATTCACTGCTATAGACTCCAAAAGTTATCCCTAATCACTCCCTTACTCATATCCAGAATTCCTCCTAGTATTGGTGGAGGAGGGAAATGAGAAGCTTTCCCATTTGTGTTGATCCTTTGATTCAATTAAATTGAAGTAATACATGTATATGTTTGTGTGATGACACTTTAAATAAATAGAAATGGAAAATACACATTTAAGATGTCTTTCAGCCTTGGGAAAGTGTGAGCATTAGCAAACAGAAAAAGATGGCTGGAGAAATAAAGGGGAGACTTTTAGATACTTATCAGAAATAAGTTCCGTTGAACTTGATGGAACCTAGTTCTGAATAGAAATAAAGATTGCTGAAATAATTTTCATGCTGCCCAGTTGATTCCAACTTATGGCAACCCTCTTCAGGGTTTCCTAGGTCAAGAGTACTCTGAAGTGGTTCACCATTCCCTTCTTCCAGAGGTGCTTTGGGACTGTGCAGCTTGCCCAAGGCTCCATAAGCTGACTCTTCTCCAAAGAGGCACAGTAGGAAATCAAACTTTCAGTCTCTGGCTCCGCAGCCAGGTACTGAGCTAGCCAGCTAGTCCAGAAATAAGATTGCAGCACTGTCAATGAGCTAACAAGCAAAGCCTCAAGGATGTAACCTTGTGGTCCAACCCAAATAAGTCTCTTCTGCATTCCATTCCCAGATTCTGTTACTGGAAGATGAGTTTCAGTTAGTGTCAATAGGTCATCAGGAGCATCCCATTTCCTGAGATTCAGGACTAAAGCCCTAAACCACAGTGTAAGCCCTGTGAGTTCACAGGGCAGTTCAGGCAAAAGCTGAACAGCAGATTAGGAGTGCTTCTAAGCTAGCCAAGTGTGGAAACAGTCAGGAGGGGAGTCCGCATAAATGGCTCTCAAGTCCAGGGAAAAGCATTTTGTGGTTGTTGTGGGTTTTTCGGGCTCTTTGGCCATGTTCTGAAGGTTATTCTTCCTAACGTTTCACCAGTCTCCATGGCCGGCATCTTCTGAAGGAAGCATTTTGTCACACTAGTGGTCAGGCAGGCTGCAAAATGCACCCAGCAGTTGCACCATTTCCTACTGTTTCTGCTAGGACTTCCATCCCATGCAGCCTTACCTACAGGGCACATGACAGATGTGCAGTTTTTCCAGTTCCTGTACTACTGCTGGGATTTGTGGAAGTTTGCTACCAACTCACAAGGAGTTTAGTCCTAGGATATACAATGTTGTTGTCCAGCCTCATGAAAAAAAAATAAGTTTCATGAGTTCTGATGCTGGTGCTGCACTCCCTGACTCACCCCAACTGGCACAATGGACCCAGGTACCTGCACTCAAGCAAGTCTCCTGCCCTAACTCCTGGACTTTCAGTGCATTGTTTTTGTGCAAGTACAATATACACATACACACAAATGCATTGAGACAGTGAGCCC